CTCGTTACGCTAGCCATGCATGATACGGCTGAGGTTATTGGTGTAGCACTTGCTTTGCGAATATTATTTATATAACCATTCCCGGCTAGCATTGGTCCAAGTTTTGCCCTGAGTAACAGAAATCCTGATTCCAATTCTTGTGCTGCATCTAGTTTGATAAACTTGAAGAAGTCTTTGACGCCAATAAATATTTCGGGCTGCTTCCAGTAACCGTCTATCCCTTTTAAGTTTTTTCTTTCCATTATAGAACTGATATTTTTGTCGTCGACTGTGACCATTTCTAGTTTATTTGTAAGGTACTCCATTACGTTAACCTCGTAGGTTATAATTCCCATCTTTCCGATTCTTATACCAACCTCTGCTTTGGTTGAATTCCATTTCTTTGGTAATTTATTGCCGAATGAAGCAATACTTAATCTCTCGTCTCCCGCGCTCGAATGTGTAGCCTTTTTGCTAAATTAGTTGATATGAACGATAGCTGCGAGCTCAAATCAAATAGTGCCAACGCTCTCGTTTGGAATTTTGGGATCTCTGGGTTTGTGACGCTAATTTCTTTACAGAGAAGTAGAATCCTTTTACCTTCTGATCGTATTTGCTCAGCTACTGTGTTGTTCATCATTGTTGACTCCAACTTTTCTTCTCGCAGTTTCTCTGATCTAGTATCTTTGCGATGATTGCTACATAGCGCTGAATTATATTTTTCTTTGCAAATGAAAGCATAATTTCTTTAGTTTTCGGCAATCCTTTACTATGTGGCCCTTTTGTAAGCAATTCAATCGTTGATTTGCTGTCTGGTAGACTTGACATTCGTCCTTCCAATGATCCTCGTTGTAAAATGAACAAGGTCTTTGTATTTTATTATTTCCAGGATATTTCCTTGAGTTTGTGATCCTTTTACTATCGTTTGGCTTGGGCTGCTTGATTGCGGCTAAAGCAGACGTCTCTCCTCTGGCACTGCGTGGGTTGTGACTCGACTTCGACTCGATTGATTTCCGTTGGTACCCATTACTAGAGGCCTGGCTTCTCTGTACTTCCCCATTTCTCTGGACTATTTCTTGCAGGAATTTCCGGAATCTAGCGACCGACCAGAATTCCTGGTCCTTTTTTTGTTGGTAGACTTTGCCCAATATCCAAACTGGTAATCTACTTTCGATAATAATTTCGATGCTTGAATGCTCCAAACACTCACCCATTGCTTCCAGTTGTCAAGTATTCTTTCCATACTTTCGACTGTTGTTTTCCACTCTCGATCGTGTCCTTTGATGGAGTATAACTCATTGTACAGCAACTTTTTTATAGTAGATAAATTTCCAATTTTCTTGACCAAAACTTTTCTTATAACGTCGTAGTTTTCTGGAGCAATATCATAGCCTTTGACAGCTTGTAGAGCGTTTTCTTTGAGACATAAGATCAGATAATTTAATTTTTGAATATCGGGTATTTTTTGGAGATGCACTGCGGCATCAAAACTACTACAGAATTCTCTCCATAATTTTTGGTCACCACTAAATGTTAGTAGTGGTAACTGTGTCAAATTTACTGTCTGCTGAAACATTTGAGAAG